GGTTGGATGAGCGGAGACGACTGAACACTTCACGAAGATGAATGAGATGATCCTCGAACGTCTTGGAGGCGACCAGCACGTCATCTACATAGATGAAGCAGCTCTTGTACTCCAGACCCGAGAGAACTGTCTGCATGAGCCGTTGAAATGTCGCCGGCGCATTGCATAAACCAAAAGGCATTCTGATGAACTCAAAGAGCCCTCTGTAGGTCGTAAATGCACTCTTCTTTCTGGCGTCTTCATCTAGCTCAATCTGCCAGTATCCTGATGCGAGATCCAATGACGAGAAATACTTCGATTCTCCGAGGGCGATTAGGATATCATCCACACGGGGAAGTGGGTACACATCCTTCCGTGTAATGGTATTCAGTTGGCGATAATCGATACTGAATCTGAGAGTTCCGTCTTTTTTCGTTACGAGGACAACGGGACTAGCCCAGGGGCTTGACGATGGTTGGACAACTCCCTGTTCTTGCATGTCAGAGACCATTTCGCTCATCTTCTCTCTCTTGATGACTGGCGTGCGATAGGGTTGCTGCCTGATTGGAGGGTGATTTCCTGTCTCGATACTGTGCTGTACTAGATCAGCACATCCCAACTCCATATCATCCAGTGCAAACTCATCACTGAAATCGCTGATTCCAGCCTTGAGTTGCTCACCTTCCTCTGGCGTGAGTTTGTCGAGGGGTAATTGGAGTTCCCTTAGGAGTCGTTCCAGTCGCTCTGGTGATGGGGCTGTGGTCTTGACTACGGCAGTAGAACTCGGTAGGGTGTGAGTAGTGTCTTCACAGCATAACGGAGGCAAGTCCAAGGGTCTTAACATACCAATTTCCTCACCAGCATCCAGGTGTGCAGTAAATTCTTGGAAATTCTCCACGGGTAGGAACACCTTGCCTCCTTCAGCAGTGACTAAACACTCCAACGCTGAGAGACCACGACTTCTTAACGCTTTCTGATTGGGTTCAAACAGAAAGTCTCCATCTGAGAGGGCCACACCGGGATTGGTTGCAACGGCCGGTAGGGCACATCCTTTGTGTGAGAGGACGACAGCAGACGTCAGTAGACTGACCTTCGAGACAGCAGGCTTTGTGGGGTTATCTGGCTTCTGTCCTGATGGTAAGATCTGTGTGCCATTACTGAGTCTCACTTCGATACCAAGGGGGGGGGAAGGGTGTTCATCCCGAGTAAGCAGGCTTGCTCACTGTCGGGTTGCACGAAGACTGGCACTGTCACGGAGTTCTGTCCCAGACTGACAATGAAGGGGACCTGAGCAGTGATGTAGAGGGGTTTTCCTCCCTTCTCACCATCCTTTCCATATAGACGGGCCGTAGGTAATTCGAATTCTGGCGGTGTACGTTTATGCTCTTGCATATGCTTGACTACTGCATGCTACGTGGATCGAGATATGATAGTGGATTGGGCTCCAGTATCCAGCAGTGCTTTGACTGGCACACCCTCAATCTTGATCTCCACCTCCAACAGGGGACCAACTGCACCAGCCGTACCCTCAGAAGTGGCATTGATGGTGTTGTTGCTGCTTGGCAGGAGTGCTCCCTCCTTAGTTAATCTCTTCTGAACGAGAAGTTGCTCCAGTTCATCCTCCGTCAAGTCGGCAGCAAAGGTCCCAGCATTGGAAGAATTCCCCGTATTCGCGGTAGACTCTGACCTTCCAGGGGCTTCGCTCCTCACAGGGCAGTCTCGACGTAAGTGACCAATCCCCTTGCAGAGATAACAACGTCGTTCCTTCGGCTTGGTGGAGTTAGCACTTTCCTCAGGATTCGTCCGAGGATTGTCCGGTTCAATCTTCTTCTGCGAAGAATTTCTCATCGGGTGTACCGATCCAGACTTCCTCCCTGACTTCCCGGTACGTGACTCGGCGGAGAACTGTTTCTCGTGTTCCAACATGCGTACTCGCGCCAGCAGGTCGTGAAAACTCTCGTCAGGCTTCGGGGCTCCCAACTTTCTCTGCCACCTAACCTGCAGGGCCTGGTAGAATCGTCCATTTAGCAATCGATCAAAATCCTTGCCAACAATTGAGGGGAAAGCTTTCCTTCCGAGCTGTTGGATACAAATTCCCAGCTGGTCAATGTTCTCGTCGCCTTGAGTTTTGTGATGAAACTCCAGTCCGCGCAGTTCCTCGATGTCCTTGGGCTCGAAGCGCTTGCCCAGTGCAGTGATGGCACTTTCAATGTTGCTGGATTCAGCATCAGGCAGCATACGAAACACATCCATTGCTGTTTTGTCTAGGTGTAGCACAGTTGATCCTCTGCTGACCAACTAGCAAACCTAGCTCTCTCTCGAAATCTCTGCACCCATTTGTCGTCAACGTCACTGTTCACACCAGTGTAATGAAAAGCACTAAAGTGCAAACCCTCGGCGAACTGCGCATGCGCGGTAGCACTAATTATTTATGGGATGGGCTCTGTATGTCTTTACTCGTGGTATCCCGCTAGTAGCTCGCGGAGAGTCTGACAGGGGCTAGGTATAGTAGTAGATAGCATGCGGGAGTCGATACATGCCCCTCGTTGTGACTTCTTGTGCCTGCAAGATACACAGAGCGAGCGGACGCGGTCGAGGTAAGCCTGCGCTAATTTGCATATTGGCTTGTTCACTTGCTTTTCACGCCATAACTTTTTAACGCAGTTGTTATACGAAAATCAACCCAGTGTAACACTGAACATGATCATATCGCTATTTACCTGATTTCGTGCGCGCGGTGGCAGAAAACGTGGTAACAGACAGACTGACAGACTGACACACTTACGGAACAACTACCGTAACCCTCGCTGCAAAATGCGCGCCGAGGGTTAACAAGGTAAAGGCAGGAGATTCTGCACAGCAACTGCCTTAGCTTGCGCGGCCATCGCATCTGTCTGTACTTGCAGCAGGCGAGCCATCGTTGAAACAGCGTCTGTACTCGAAGTACCAGCTAACGGTCAAATCGTAGCCACCCCATCACTGAAGGCCGTAGACAGTGAGCTAGGGGCTACCACAGTCGGGCTTGGCAGAGGAGATACGTGTGAGTGAGTCACCACGGACGCGAGGCTAGTCGAGGTCGAAGCAACAGCAGTGATGCTAGGTTCAAAGGGAGTAGCAGTGGCTGACAGGCTGCTATGCATTGTAGAGGCATGCGGTAGTTCACTTGCAGTCTTGTTACGCGGCGGTGAACGCGGGCTGTCGGCGGCACTCGTAATTAACCTTCGGCGCGCGCATGCGCAGCGAGGGTTACAGTAGTCGTTCTGTCTGTCCGTCTGTCCGTCTGTTACCACGATTTCTGCCACCACGCGCAACAAACAGGTAAAATAGCGACACCAGCGGATTCAGCGCTACACTGGCTTTAGGCGATTTTCGTAAAAGTGACGTGTTCAGAAGTTATGGCGTGAAAACCAAGTGAACAAGCCAATATGCTAATTAGCCCTGGCTTACCTCGACCTGATCCGCTTGCTCTGTGTACCTCGGAGGCACAAGAAGCCACAACGAAGGGCGTGTATCGACTCCCGCATGCTATCTACTAGCCCGTGTCAGACTCTCCGCAAGCTACTAGCGGGAGATCACGAACAAACGTATACTAGTATAATAGGCCCAGCCCATCAATTTTAGCTGTTCCGCGCATGCGCAGTTCGTCGAGGGTTTTGCTTTTCATTGCTAACGCTGTCGTCCCCGAGGGGTCATGACCTTCCGGAGTGAGCTCACGTGTACTAACACCGACCGACCTAACCAACCCAGCTATCCTCTCCAGCAGCTGCGTCCTCTCGGTAGCATGGCTTTTCTTGATCTCTTTGATCCACAGCTCTGTTCGCTCCGTTTCCTTCTCTAGTGCTCGTTGATGCTCCGCTCGAAGGCTCTCCAACGCTCGCAACATCGTCAACTCTCCTCTCAGCTCCGCTTGCTCTCTAAGTCTTGCTCCAGACGAGCCACACGATCCTCCAGAGGCGTCCTGACTAGTTCCAGTTCCGCACTAGCTCTCGCGGCAACTGTCCTGAGTTCCTCCAGTTCATGGTCCCGTATTCGCAACTCTCCGCGTAGACGTTCGATCTGGACAGAAAGTTCCTCCACTGTGCCGGTAGCTGCTGGTTCCTGACGTTCAGACATCTGGCGTATCTTCCCAGAGCGCGTTTTTGACTGTAGGCAAATATCTTTCGATAGTCCTTTGAGCTCCCTTGCCTGACATCAACCAGTCGGACGGTCCGTATCCCAAATCCTGGCAGGGTCGCCAACTGTAACGCCTATCAGTCTGCTAGCGCTGATAGGTAGCTTTCAAAATAGCTTTTAGGATAGGCATGGACAATCTGGAGACCAGGATGAATGAGGATACAAGAGTCACTGTCTAATTCATACACACACCAAAATGATACACAACACACGCGCTCACTGGAGCTCACGTCACACATTACATAACAATAATATGAGCATGCGTTCATGATGGAGTAGCGATGATAATAGTCCTTACATATTGAACGCGCATGTCCAAAAAAACTGAGGTAGTGTAGCCATTGGCTGCTGAAGTAAAGAATGAAGTGGCGAGGGTTATGCACTTTCAAGTAGTTTTCATTTGTTACTGTACACAGACTGTAGCCAGTCATGGTCCTTTCAAACACCATTGTCTCATATAGCTAGCTATTCAGCTAACATTTATTTGGCGTCTCTCCCTGATTGTCTTAAGATTATCTGTGACAGAGGAAAGTCACAGGATTGACGCTTGAATACTCAGTACTCAAATGGCTATTGCTTGCTGTATCTTGAAGGTCTACCAAGTCATTGTCACGTGTTTTGTTTGGTATGCAGATCATGTAAGAATTGATCTGTGCCATCCCTACATACCATCCCTACATAGAGTATCTACTGACGCCTTCAACGCAGCTATTATGTGTTGTCATCATATTTCTCCCTCCCCCCTATCTTTCCACATCCTTCTTTCTTCTTCTCCTCCTTCTTTATTAACTTGTTTCCCTCCTTTTCTCTCATTTCCTATCTCTTCCAGTCTTTTTCTGTCTCCACTGTTAGTTAATAATGCAGACAACAGAAGGATAAAATAGATGCTATGCTAGTGAACACTGATTATAGCTATTGGTCAAACAAAAGCTAAAACAGTGACGAGAAAGATAGAGAGAGGGTTCTATTTTTTCAGTCAGTGTGGGAATTACTAAACAGAGTATGTGCTCCATTGGTATCCAGCGATGGTGGAATGACCTCGATGGACACACCAGAACCAATCTTCTGTCCTTCCTTTCCATCTTCCTCCTCTTGCCCCTCTCCCTCCCCTTCTCCTCCTCCCCCCTTCCCAACACCCTCTTCTTCACCCTCTTCCCCATCGCCTCCCACTCCCTCTCCCCCACCCTCAGTGAAAGGGTTAAATCCAAACTGCAGGTAGCCTGCATCACGTTCAATAGACTGCGAGACACTAGAGTAGAGCTCCTTGAAAGTTGGTCTGTCTTCTGGAGCCATGTGCCAACACTCAATCATTATCCCATATCTGTGTGAGACATGGTACTATTAATAATACACATGTCTGCAGCCTTTAAATAGTCTATTACTTACTCATAGTCATAATAATGACAATGAAACATGGATAGAAGTACAGGGTTCGATCAGTTTGGCCTAGTTGAGCCTGGTAATTTGGCTATCAAAGTACAGTACATAGCTAAGAGACATGGTGTGGATAGTAAAAGTTCCATTTTTTTTACTATTATCGTGCTGAAACAGGTATCCTTTGGAGAGAGGTGAACTTAGTTCAGAGGATCTTTTTTGAGGGGTTTCACCATAGTTGAAAAATGGCACTCACATTTCCTCGCTGCAGACAGTGTTGTGAGGTTGAGGCATCCGGTAGCCCTGTTCAAGACTCTGTATGAGAGTGTGGGGATCAGTTCCTGGATATGGGGCCTTCCCTCCACTGAATATCTCCCACATTGTCACTCCATACGACCACTGTAGGGAATAGTCGGAGAAGAAATTCGATTTTCTTTGTGTACAAAAGTGGCCATGCATGTCTGAAGCGGTGATACCTCTTATAAAAAAAATCTTTATAAAGGACTATTGGCTGTCTTAGACTTAACAAGGCATGCCTCCAAATACACCCACTTTCGATTGTCGACATAGGAAACTTCGCTAAGAGACAGTTGCAGGATGTTGCTGTAGGTTTTAGCCAACATACCACGTCACTCTTCTCAGAGAAGTGTCCATCACTGAGGCTCTCTGGAGCCATCCACTTGACCGGCAGTTTCACTCTCTCCCCACTTCCACCTCCCTGTCTGAAGTAGTTCTTCTCAAGCACATCCTCCGACAGACCAAAGTCTGCGATCTTGATCATGAAATGAGCATCGATCCTGTGGTGGCATGAAGCTATAAAGGTCAAGCTTTAGTCATACAATAAGTATGTGCAGACATGTGATATGCTGCCTTGGTAATGTGAAGTTATTGGGACTCACATGCAGTTCCTAGCAGCGAGGTCTCTATGGACGTATTTGTCAGCTGACAGGTACTCCATCCCACTGGCTATCTGGGAACACATCACCATCAGCCGCTTACGAACCTCCTTCACCTGGAAATGAGATTAACTATAGAGTCGCCGTATGAATAATCTAAGTAAACACTACAGGATATACAGTACTGTTTTTGTGGATGATAATGGCATGTTGTTACAGTAGAGCACGAACGCTAGAAAAACAACCAGGTCATTCGCGGCATGTACCAACAAATAAAAGTCGACCAATGGAACCCTCCATAATCTGTACACAAACTCTTCACCTCATCTTCATCAGCTTCATCAGAGAGTACAATGCTCTTTCTCTCTTTCTTGAGGTACTTCAAAAGACTCCCGTTGCCCATATAAGGCATGATGATGTAAGGGGCGGAGCCAGCATTGAGACAGACTCCAATGAGACCCATCACATGAGCATGTTTGAATCGACCCATCTTCAAACTCTCCTCCACAAACTTGTCAACCTCATCCTGATCAAAATCACCTGCAGAAGCAATGGATGAGTAACTAACCTGGTTTTCAAGAGAGTGTACATTCTCTCGACCTTTCAGTGTTTTCACGGCCACGTCCCGCTTTGTAAGTCCAACTCTGCCTCTGTAGACTATTCCAAACTCCCCTGCAAGAGAGAATAAAGTAAGTCATATCAGAGCGTCGGTAGACGCTCTATATAGGGATGACGCGGGTGAAATCTCACGTGATCCGCGTACAAAACGCCTCAAAACTTGGCGAGAAAGACTCACCATTGCTTGAAAATCACTAGCAATAGTCTACAGGCCAATACCTAGCTATACATACTCCCCAAAGACTTCCTACGTGCCCTCAGTTCCCCACGAGAGAATGGCTCTTACGCGATTTCGCGATTTCACGATTTTCGTGTCATCATCATCATCATATTCTTCATCTTCCGGTTTCTTCTTCAGTAAACCCGCTATCTCGTTACCGAAAATAGTTGAAGTGCTGATTTTTCCATCAAACGTTTCCAGATTCGCCAGAGGTGTGCACGGACATCAAGCGATCGTCTCTTTCTTGCCGCAAGTCACTACGGTAGATCGTTGAGCTCCTCCACGGTAGTCACTGGACAACGCCATTTTTGCTGCTAACTCAGCATCAGTGAGCCGCATGCGCCGAGGAGGGCGTTTCCAATGTGGTGCGTGCGCATTACATAGTCTCGCTCCACGAGAAAAAGCCAGGATGCCTGCAGAGGACCTCTCATCCTCCAGCGCCTTCTGTAAGTCAGTATACACATTTAACTGCTACCTTGTTTTAGCTGTTGATTTGCAGGTGGCAGTCTGCGCCGGGTTACGCGAGCCTTACCGGGCGTATACAAATTGGCCTTCATTCTTTGTCCCCGGGTAGCTAATAGTAATCTGATTACTCAAGCCCTGCCCATGAAATCGCCACCGTGTGCCACAACCTAATTGCGTCCTTGTTGGAGACACGCGTACACCCCCTTAGGCGCAGCAGTCCATTAGCTACTGCTTTCATCAGTTTACTCTCTACAACATACCCATGAACATCAGGGTGACTGAAAATGCAGTGTTGTCATAAGCAGTTAAAAATAGTGGAAACAAGTGGAAAAATCATTTCTTCAAAATGAAAGGGGGATATAGGGATGGCTTGAAGCACCAAAAAGGAACAAACAAGGGGTCATTCATTACACAGCAAAGTTGCACAAAGCTACATGACACCATCCCTATATCTTTGTTGTTATACGGCTCTGCAATAGAGGTTGTCTTGCATGTATATTTAGCTCAAGGGAAAGAGTTTGCTTATAAACAATAAAACAAAGATATAGGGATGGTGTCATGTAGCTTTGTGCAACTTTGCTGTGTAATGAATGACCCCTTGTTTGTTCCTTTTTGGTGCTTCAAGCCATCCCTATATCCCCCTTTCATTTTGAAGAAATGATTTTTCCACTTGTAAACTTAGCATTCAGATGAGCATATTTTCGTGTGTTTTTACATAGATGTAAATTTACATATTTGAAGCAGGGTTGCGGGATATAAACGGACGCAGCTAGGGCCACTTCCCCGGTGGTCAGGGTCGGCAGGTGACTAACAGCCGATAGAACTGAATTGGACAAGGGGGAATCTGGCTCCGGTTTCCTTCTACTGACATTATTTCTCGGCGTAATAGGAATATACACACACAAAGTGCATTATTGCTAAAGATTATATGAATGCCATGTAAGCACACTTGACAGTTCTGAGGAAGACAATGATATACTCGAACCTTCTCCAATGCAGTCCAATAAAGTGATGTCATCAATGTTGAGAAGGAACTTCCCCCTTGCTAGCTCCCTCATGTGATATGTGGGGACCCTGTTCCTGGACTCAGGGACTTGTAGAGAGCTCGATGAATCATCAGATGCCTTCATAGACACTGGCTGACCTATTATAGTGACCAAATTGCAGTGATGATAAATTATTACAGGTAGGACTTGGTACCAGAAGTGTAACAGATAACATGAGAAGTGGTAACAACTGTGTTGAAGGACTGAAGGCATCAAGCCAGCAGCCATAAAAAAAATACACGGAATAGGACATAACATGAACAACATTAAGTGAAATGCATTGACTGGGAAGCTTAGAGCATTTTGGCATAGACACACGTAGTGATAGGAGCATATATCAGGATCAAAGTGTGAGATGAATTGAATCCAAAAAGGTTTTGCAGTCTAGACTTGATGGCAGAAATAGGGAGATTAATGTCAAATGATAGAGAGTTCCAAAGGCGGGGAATGTGATTGAAGTAAAAAATTCTCTCAACCTGGTTTTTGCAAAAGGAGTGCCTCAGTTTTAAATGAGAAGATGAACGAGTATATAGGATTGTCACAAAACTTGACAAACTTGCGTATATTGAAGTGTTCAGAGGGGAACTTTAGGGACTTGACGAAAAAGAGAATATCAGCAATTTCTCTCTCCATCATTAGTGGTAAGAGATGTAAGTACATCAGTCGATTTTTACAATCCACTGCAGTACCCTTCATGACAAATTTTGTTGCCCTTTTTGAACGACTTCCAGACATTTTATACCAATGAACAAGTGTGGATGCCAAACGACCGAATAATAGAGCAACTGAGAGCGTACAAGGGATGTGTAAAGGTAGCGTTTAGCCGATGGAGAAAACTCTGCGAAGCAGACCTAGCATTTTGTAGGCTATGGATGTGATCAGTATGATAATGCAGTTGCCACCATAAGTTGGCTGATACAATCAATCCAACATCCTTTGCTATACATTTATTAGAAATTTCTTTGCTATTCATACTGTAGTTGAACATTACAGGGGAGTGGCCAGTAGTGAAGAGTAAAATAGAGCATTTTTCTTCATTAACAGACAAATTCCAAGTGTGCACCACTCAGAGGGACTTGTAAAGTCATTCTGGAGAAGTATGCAGTCTTGCAGAGAAGAAATAGGCATAAAATAATTGGCATCATCAGAAAAAAGCAGGATTTTACAACTATAGAAGAAAGATCATTCATAAATATATACAAGAAATAAAAGAGGACCAAGAATACTGCCCTGAGGTACACCAGAGATAACGGGAAAAGTGTTTGATGCAGATTGCCCAACACATTATACCGAACCCTATTGGTCAGATATGCCCTCATCCAGGACCAGAGTTTGCCAGTAATACTGAGTTTCCATAGCTTGTAGAGTAGCTCACTGTGAGCTATTATACAGAGTCGAAAACTTTCCTAAAGTCTAGATACACCACATCTGTTTGAGGTACAGAGGAGAAAAAATATAAGCAACTGTTGTAGAGTAGAGCGACCACGTGTAATGGAGGATGTAACGAAGTCCACAATACCATTGTAAACTTAACCTAAGAGACAACCGGTAACAGAGAAATTGGTCTGTAATTCCTGAATGAGGTTTTATCAAAATTGATGTTATTAAGTGAGTGTGCCATTCTATTGGAAGATAACACTGGGATAGAGTCAAAGAGAACATTATGGTGAAGTGGTTCAGAGCACAAGTTTTGAGTAGCTTAGGACTAATTACACCACATCCTATAGCTATGGACTGGTCAAGGGATCGAAGAGCACGGAAAACATGTAGTTCGCTAAAGGTAATTTCGCCGAGGAGAGACGGAGGCCTAGACAATTCAGTAAGAGGTGGTAACTGAAACTAAGCATTTGGTAAAAACAGAGTAAAATAACTCGTTAAACGATGCAGATTTCTCACAATCAGAGGCAACAATAATGTCGTCCAGATTGTCCAGATGTAAAGATGAAGGCAGTAAAATTAATTATGATTGGATACTGAGTGAATATAAGAGAAGACCAGAGAAGACTGGTGAGAATCCATCAGATTAGTTTCAAACTCAGTTTTGGCTTGTGCTAACTTGCATTGGAGAAAATGTTCCAGTTTCAAATTTTAGTACGAAAATGAAAGGAGAGTGGTTAGAAATTAGCTAACTCTAGATTTAATGCTTTTTGAAATGGCGAAAACCATTATTATTATTGCTATATTGTGTATTTATGGTTCACAATAATATTTTCCACAACCTCGGTTTCAAACCAGCTATGTATACCAGCTCTGTATGTCTTCCTGTAAGGGTTATATGTGACAACGGAAGCCCCCATAGCAGCTCCTTTCTCTCCTGGTTCCATCTCTATGTTGTGGGTTGTCATTGCTGTCTCTGTTACTGAGGCAAGGATCGGGGCATCATTTCCAGGGCTGCAGAGAAATACACACACAGGCTCTGACACATCACAATGTGAAGTCCCACGAATTTAGTGAACATAGATTACATTGTGGTTGTGTGACATAACAGAGGAAGAGAAAGGTTTTGAAATAATTTCCTCGCAAAATATGTTGCACTGCGTCATAATATTGTGGCATAGGTGACTATATAGCTATACTCAGGATTGCAAGGTTTGGTTAACTCTAGTGTCAGTTAGTTTGGCATTCAGAGAAAGGAGAAGAACACTGGCAGAAACTTTCAGGCATTTTGCATTTATTTGTAAAATCGGGGTCCAACTTAGAGTTGTATGGATAGAGGCTTGGAAGATTGCAGCTACTCAATTGGAAAACTCACTCCCAGTTACTCACAGGGCTAGTATGTCAAGTTGCATTCTCTCCATTCGTTTTCTCTTATGTCTCCTGGGCAAAACCACCAACAATAGAACAGCCCCAGCAGCTGCCACAGCAAGCAGTAGAATGACAACAATAACACTGCTGACAACCCCTGCCACATCCCCTCCATTGTCTCCCTGCTGTGATGAGTCTTGATCCCCCGGTGAGATGCCTGGAGTGCATAATATAGCCAGAATCATAGAAGTGAACTTTAACTTTAATCTGAAAACACCTGAACCATAGATATCATACATACGCTTGTAGCTCAGTGGTAGAGGACTTTGTTTAGAAAACAAGATGTCCTTGGTTAAAGTCCCGCTTCTTTGAAAATGGTGTTGTTGCTATATACAAGGTGTATATCAGTTGGTAATTGTAATAATGCACTAGTTACTTGTGGTTACACACCCTTAGATTAATGCTTCAATTTCGGTCAACATACGACACTATGGATTTAACTCATTCTTAAAAAGTTACGGATGGATGTGTATAAATACAGCAATCATGGAGATGCATGTATTAAAAGTTGATGATAGAAAAAGTATGCCTGTATCACAGACCTAGTCCAGCACCTGTACAGCAGTGTGGGATAGGGAACAGCAAACTGGATGTATCGTTGCAGTTGAGAATTGGAGCTACACTCCTGAAGGCTAGATAAAGGGCATCCCACGTTTTCTGACACTTTTCCTGTACCATATGACACTCCTCCTGTTTTTATTTCATAGGAAAAAAAATGGTAACAATACCTGTGTGTGCACTCTATAGCAGTGCTTAAGTATAATATGTGTTCTGACTCTGCAGGTTGTCTGTGTGCTAGAGGTTCTCTACTTTGCAAAGGAGTTAAGCTAGTAGATGAAGTTAGAATAAGGGAAAGGGGAAGGCGAACTTTGGTCTGGGGTCAGGGTGTGTAAGCCTGAGTTTGCATTACTAAACGAGAAAGTACTTCTAGGTAGTGTATTACTGACGAGAAAGCATGATTCTTACTTGACAGATGGAGGAAGGAGGGACAGGGTGGGTGGAATTACCACAGGGTGGTAGGTAGAAATTGCAAAGAACTCTTAAAACCTGCTTCACACAGAGATCATTATGATCAGCAATCACAGTCACTACTGTCTTGAGATTCTCGTTGAGAAGTTGTGCGATGGTGTTCTGGTCTCCCAGTCTTGATCTGGCGTACACATGATCGATGCCAAGTCTCACTACACCTTCACATATGGCAGTTTCTGATTTGTACACCAAACACTCTCCATAACTGGGGAAGGATTGGAGGCATCAAAGACATACATATGCAATGTAATAACACGGGTGGGTGTCAGAACTGGGGTATTAGTATATAGTCTAGATTAGTAATCTCAACAGTAATTAGTTTATGAATCAGTAATTATCTACGCCAATACTGAGTGCCTACACATTCTTAGACAGAGCTAAAGAAAAAACACATAGCTACCTCTGTATGTCAGGCACTGAAGTAGGGAAAGTTTCGGTACATCTCGGCTGATCTGAATTAATTATCACGGGAATAATATTATCATGTAATGAGTCTAGAATCTTGGTGGTCACTATTATTTTAGTTACTCACTGGAGCTTGACATTCCACAAGAAATTGCTGCAACTGAGCACCCTCCACTGGGTGGCCTGTTGTGACTGCATTCACTAAAACTCTGCTCGGAGCCCGTGCATGTCACACTCCCAACAAACACTGGACTAGCCTCAAGGGTAACAGGCCCCTCAATTATTGCACCATCTAGTATTATACAGAATAAAGGTTTGATACTAATACAGGTTAAAACTATAAACAGCATTAAATTGTGCATTAATAGGAGGTGCATAGGTAGTTTGTGAGCAAAGTCACCCCAGACAGTTTGTGCAATTTACAGTTACACGGCTAATATGGTGAAGATCGTGCCCTATCAATTTCTCCTTTCAGAAACTTCACCCTTCAAAAATTAAAAGAGTGAACTTCACTCATCAAAGTTTACAAGGGTAAACTTCACCCGTCAAAAGTTTTAAGGGTGAATTTCACGGCTAAAAAAAGCTAGTCTCAGCAATAAAATTGCATTTGAATTTTGGCACTTATCTAAAGGTCGTGCCCTATGGACTAGTCATCTTTGTTTGCCAAACGTTCAACTTACCTCCTGGGTTGAAGTCTAGCTCACTGCACACGACTCTAGCATCTTTCATATCGAACCCATCACTGCAGACTCCTCCCCATCTTCTGTCCATGCAGACCTCTACTCGACCAGTGGAAGAGGTAAACCCACCATCCAGCCTCACCTCTCCATCCCCACAGCCTCTCACCTCATCTGTCATGTAAAAAAACAAGGTCTGTGGTTGAAATTGATTATAAACAGTGTGTGCAAAATAAGTAACTCTTGTTGCGGTCTCAGTCACTATACTTAACATCTAAAACTGCTTGTGCATAGGCCAATCTCAAGATATATAGACATGGATCTATACTGTACAGTGGAACCCCTCTCTTGGAATGTCTAATAAGGCTTTTTGTTACAGTTTCTGCATGGAAAGGACACCTTACTAATACTTTTACACTCACTTCTGTGTCCAGATTAGAGACGTTAATCCCTGAAATGCATGCACACCCATACATACCATAGCAGCTGATGACAATGTCTGGTTCGTCATAATCCAAATAGTAGGGACTACAGTAGTGGAACCCAATGCTGCTGTGAGAGCATTCCAATAGCCCTGACTCTGTTCCAATGCAGTGGACTTCTCCTATTACTGCATCTTTACCACTGGTCCCAAATCGCTCTATGTCATCTTTCAGGGTGTATGCACCTACGTTTATGGGAGGAACCATTTTAGATGCTACAACTTTCTGATACTCTAAGGTTGCAATCCCCATGTGATCATGCAGGTTAGAGTTTCCGCAATGTTAATGATGAGCAAAACTGGATGCACACTTAAGCAAGGTCGACTAAATTCATACTCCTTATGTATTCATTTGAGTTTAGCGAGGAGACATATTGAACCTAAGACTAAGCAACAGTTACGAACAAGTAGGCAGGCAAACCAACATTTGAAAATTCTATATATTACTATTGAAGAAAGAAGCTACTTCTGATTTCATAACAGTTTACCATGTGATTCACTGTAAAACACATATTGACCTAGTTAAACTTGAGTGAAGCTCGGTAATGCATTGGGAACTTCTTGTCATAATATAGCTCACCATCTTTGGAGAAGCCTAGTTGACGGCACACCACTCTGGCATTGTCAGGACCCCAATATCCAAAAGCATTGCAGACTTTGCCCCACACCCCAAGAGCACAGAGCTCCAGTCTCCCGGTGGAGTCTGTTAGTCCACCCACCAGACGAACTGCTCCGTGCTCACACTCTTCCACTTTTGTACAAAAGAAAAATATTATTTATGCATGCAATTTGCCCATTAGAACTACCGTATAATCATATTATTTTTTAGGGTCGCCTTTGTTAGCTATCTGCAAAAGTTTTCAGGCACGAAATACGATGAGTAACAATCTGTCAAAATTATATATAAGCTCAAAATTTCCTGCTATGCAAACTCACCAAAGCAATTCTTTGTCACTGAGATGTCGGGGCAGCATTCGCCATAAAAAGAAGCAGTCAGAGCCACAGCGACAGCCATAATAGCTGGTGCAGGATTCACCGCTGCATTGGCTGCAGTCAGTAAGACCAACTGTCGTACAAATCGCTGTGAGAAATAGTCATGGAGGGATTGAAAAGGCAGTACTTTGTGGCAAAATTGTAATGAGCTGTACCGAAGCAGTCCACTCCAGCAGCATGTGAACACTGATTAACATCAAGCTGAGTTGTAGAGCAGTCACTGAATGTACTGGTACCACTGGCACATTGAATACTCAGTGGGAGGATGGGATTAGTCCCTCGACCATAGTTGACAACGACTGAAGCTATAATAGAATAACTATATATATGACAATTTTATAAGGCAACATGCATATATATTAATCACATAGTAAGATGTATCATAGCTGATGGTTTCGCAGACAACTCTTGCCTCCTCTCCTGTGGTATCCCAGTCACTGGCGCAGACAGAGTACCAGGTTCCATTATAGCAGTACGTCACTCTCCCTTGTGATACATCATCACCTCCAACCAGGTGGACTGTCCCGTCAATACATGTTACATCTAGAGAGAAAACTGCAGCTCACAGGAAAGCAAAAAATAACTGTAATAATGCTTAGACCATCCATCGTCTACTTGTACTACAATAGCACTCCTATTCAATATTCCTACATACAAACTTTGCGTCAAATGGGCCTGCTTCTGTACGGTAATGTATTGTACATAGGGATTGGCACAGTACCTATCATCATAGATGTAGGTATGGGGCTACAATAGGGTGTTTTAATTACTTGTTTTGGATTTGTCCCTTATAGCATCGTACTAACTGCACTAAATACCTTAATGATGAACTCACTGGTAGCTACATACGACTCCAGCTGCTTCTTACAGGGAGCAGTAATACACCCCAATACCTCTGTGACTGCAGTCACTGAGACTGCTCTCAGTTCCCTCACAGTGGACATCATCCAGATGATACAGCAGTTCTCTACTGCCATCGTGGCTTAGCAAAGGATGTGAGGCTGTTATGGGCAAAAGAGAAATCAAGTCTAATGGATGAAACATTTTGGGTATAACACTATAATATTCATGTGAAGTTTGTTTTGACTCTCATGTTGCATTAATTTTTCTAATTTTTAGGCTTACGTCCATCATATCCCAGCTGTCGGCACACAACTCCAGCGTCCCTGTAGTCCCATCTGGTGTCACACACTGAGCCCCACAGCCCATAGAGACAAATCTCAACCAGTCCATCATAGGGGGTTGTACCCGCAACCAGCCTAACATCAGTTTCATTGCAATCAACGGCGTCTAGGTAACAATTTCAGATGCAGCACTTTGCTATATTGTGAAACTAAAGCTTACTGCTGCATATAACTCCAGCTTCTTCATACCCCACACCACAGTTATGAATACCAACTCCTCTATGCCGCATTCACTCAGTAAGTTTGCGTTCACATTGCAGTCAACATCATCAAGATAATAGAACAGCGACTCGTCTGTTAACACGCGATGACTTGACAGTGCGACAGACGCTGCGTGGAAATGAAGAAGTGAGCATATGTATTAGAAGGGAAGAACTTACTTCCATTGTACCCCATTTGCTGACAAACAACTCTAGCATCTCTGTAGTCCCAACTGTTGTCACATACTGAGCCCCACAGCCCATTGAAACATATCTCAACTCGTCCGTCGTCAGAAGTCACACCATCAACCAGTCTTACATCAGTCTCGTTGCACTCTGACATTCACTGACACATGAATAACTCCAGAGATAGGACAATACACCAAAAAACTCACCACTGCATGTAACTCCAGCTTCTTCTGCCATTTCCATACAATTGTGAACACCAATTCCGCCATGTGCACAATCACTCAACATGTCTTCGCTTCCAGTGCAGTCAATATCATCCAAGTGATATAGCAGTGGGTAATTAGACAAAACTGGGTGGCTCATCAGCGCAATAGGCCCTGGGATGATGAGCATCAGATAATAATACAGCGTGTTACCAAGCAAACTCACTTCCATCATACCCCAATTGTCTACACAGCACTTCTGCATCTCTTTCATCCCAACTGTCGTCACACACAGATCCCCACACCCCCTCAAAACATATCTCCACCCGTCCATCATTAGGAGTCCTGCCATCAACCAGTCTAATATCAGTCTCATTACACTCCGCTGCGGATCATAGAGTGTTAATGTCAAGCTATGGTCTCTGAGATCAATGGACAAACCATTATAACACAAAACTCCAACATCTTCAATGTGGTAGCAGTAATCAACATCTAGATCGCTCGAACAGTTCAGAAGACCATTTTCATTCCCAGCACAAGAAAAATAATGAATTCGACCAGATCCACCGCCGTATTCGGTTAAAGCAATAGCGACTGCAAATTAATCAAAGGCCAGGCATAAGCCGCTATAGCTACAGCTACCTACACTTACAGTCGAAAGCACCCAGTTGTGAGCAGGCGACGCGGGCCTCCGCAACGTCCCAGTCGTCGTCACACACCGTGCCCCACTGTTGGTTGATGCAGATCTCCACTCTGCCGCTAACTCTCACTCCGTCCACATTCACGCCATCCGCCAACCTCACCACTCCCTCTTCGGAGCACTGCTGCCCAGTAACTATAACTACAGACAACAGAGGAGCAGTCTCACAGTAGCTATGTACTAGCTTGCTACTGCTCAATCCTTACCGACAACAATCTGAACAAGTAGTAAAAAACTTATTCCGAGTAGGACCTGCATTTTTTTTACGTGTCGGCTCAAAAACGGTGAGATTCACTGCCGGCTAAACTAGCTAGAGTCCTTCTAAGTTTGCTTGCAGTACCCGCAGACGAGTTCTATACGCCACACTGAGGGGCGTGCGTATTAGCCGTAAACAACGTTGTAGGGGCGGGACTGCGCGTTTTATTTTTATAAAAAGTTTAGCACAGAAATATACAATACATGTATCTAGCACTCAATTGTTAATACTAGACATGACTCCCTTTTTATATGATGAAAACCCTCGGCGAACTGCGCATGAGCGGTATCGCTAATAGATGGGCTGGGCTATTGGCGTTCACCCGCGGTCTCCCGCTAATAGCCCGCGGAGAATCTGACACGGGCTAGCTACGGTAGTAGATAGCATGCGGGAGTCGATACACGCCATTCGCTGTGGCTTCTTGCGCCTCCAACGTACACAGAGCAAGCGGATCAGGTCGAGGTGGAGCCAGCATGAACTATAATTTTATGCATATATACCGCGTTGATCGCGTCTATACGCATGCGCACCGCTTAATGATGGGTTGGGCCACGGAAAGACCGTGCCAGTTCGAACGCAGTCGTTTCAGGAAAATCGCCTAATAAAGTTTCAGGTTCGCGTAGTTCTGAAGCCGTTGGTGTCGCTCATTAGCCACCTCGTGGCCTGTAGTGCCAGAATAAGCGTCGACACACACACACACACTCTAATTAACAGCATGGGAAGTTTTGACTTTAGTAGACATAACATCCACAACAAGGTATAAAACAGCCAAGCTTGCCTGTAGTAGCTCAGTTAGGAGCAAGAGTGAAGAAAGAAAGAAGTGAAGAATAGAGAAGACCAAAGAATGAAGCAAGTTATTACTAAGGATACGTAGCTGCTATACTAAAATTGCCTTCATATAATGTAGGTTAGTTTGTAAGTACAGTAATTGTAGCCATGTAGTAGGCAAATCTGGACTCCAACCAGGTGGAGTGGCCTCGCCCTTTCTGGAGTGTCTCACGTGTCGGGAGTTTAAAGAGGCCGAAACGCGTGTGACATGGTGAAAGATTGGGAACTCCCCTGATGACCAGTAACAAAGAGCCTAGCACTGCGCCTGCATGTTGCTGGACTTGTGGATAGGTTTACATGTACGTTTAAGCACCTGGCTGGCTGCATGCGGTGACGCCGACAAAAGCCGCCCGCCCCTCTCGTTAGCTTTAGTCCTGCCTACACTTTACCCCTCTCTCTTCTTTCCCCAATTACAAACACACACACACACACACACACACATTAATATGTATATTTCAACAATCAGCTGTGCCAAAACCACTACTTATTAATATTCATAACTAGCTAGACTATTAATACAACCAGCACTAAGAAGCTGCTTAGTTACAAGAAAGTCAAGAGAGGAAAAGGTGAGCGAGATATACAGCATAAACATAGACACTAGTATAAGTATACATTGTATGCCGGACTCCTTGCTGGGGAGTGGTCCCGCCTATTCCAGAGTTGACCTCGGGTCGGAAAGTTAAAGGGACCGAAACCCGTTGTCATACAATGACGGAAATAGGTACTTCCCTGATGACCGGCCGAATACATACCATACATATAGTGATACTCCTGCGCACGTGGGTGCGGGCGTAGTAAGTCCCTAGGCTAAGACCGCATGAATGTTGGGCTGCTGCCCGGGCGATGCGGACAAAAGCCCTCCCAGCCCTGCTTCTCCCCCCCTTTCTCCTTAACCCTTCTCCCTTTTCTCTTTCTTCACAAATCACACAACACACACACACACACACAGAGACAGACAAACTAACTACCGGAGAAAAAGAAGGCTCAGAACAAAGAGTATACAATTAAGACTGTTCCACACTCTAATAGTAGCAGGAACAAAAGAGTAGTACATGGAGTTAGTACTGGAGAAACAGTGGCGTTTCTAGGATTTAGATTAGGGGGTGCTGCGAGCGCGGGGGGGAGGAGGAGAAACATGTTCGGACCTGTCAGTACACGGCCGAAACTGATGCACGCATTGTCCAACACATTTGTAGCCTCCTCGGGTGGCGTCTAGCAAATTGCAACTGCCTGCGCGGGTTCAATACTGTGAACAACAACAACAACAACAACAAAAAACAGAGCAAATATACAGAAAACCAAAAAATATACATAGAGCAATTATACAGTAACCAAAAATATATTTAACCAAGATAGCACCTAGTATTATAGCCATAGATAAATGTTATGCACTATGGAGGCTCTGTGCACTATATATGTAAAAATGGCGCCCAAAGGGTTACAAGAACCATAAGTGGGACCCCCATGGGAAAATTCGGTGGACGATAGGTGCCAGTCGATTTCAATAAATGTCCATTGCATTTCACAATTTCAGCCGATGGCGTCCACCAAATCACGTTGCATCTGACAGTGTTGCAACCTCCTCCCTCAGATCCCCAATGTGTCTCTGCGCGTGCCTTAGCGGACGACCACTCCTCCTCACTGTCTCCAGTCTCTTTGTAGAGACGGGCATCCCCTCTAGTCTTCACCCCATCTGTCTCTCCTCCTCTATGGCGCGAGATAATGTTATGACTCGTTGTAGCGGGACTTTTGCGTGCTGCGCTATGCTGTCCTTCTTGCTTCCCTTAGCTGTGGCAGCCATCGCTCAAGCTCCCGTGTGAGCAATGTCAGTCACTACTCCTCTGTCGCTGTGGTAGCGCTTTTCCGTAGAGCCACTGTGTCTGCTTCTGAGTTACCTTGCCGTCTCTCGGTCGGCTCCCTCCGTACTCACCTCCACTTGCTGCGTGTCTCGGCCAGTCCGTGCCGTTGTCCAGTGTCTGCGGCCTTCTCTAGTCTTCTCCGTTAGTTGGCGCTCCAGATTCCCGCGATCCGGTCCGTTAGTTGGTGTAATTTCCTTAAACATCTAATGCGTCAGTTCAGCATTGCGGTGCTTGTGAGTACTAAGTCGGCAGTTCCAGGGTGGTCTTCATTTAGCATCGATTTTTTCTATGCTCCAAACCGCTTACTCCATTGGATTTCATCGTCTCTTTCAATCGCGTTTGCGTGTGGCTTGGCGGAGATTTTTTGTTTTTGATGTTGAGTTTTTTTTTTTCTTTCGTGGTTTGCGTTTTTTCGTGTTTTCTTCGTCTTTTTTTTTCGTGGTGGTAAGTCGCGCTCTTTTGGCAGAATTACCGGGGACTGGCCCCCAATGGTAACGACCGTGGCCTCATACTGTGGAGCGCTGCCGGTTATAGAGAGCAGGAGGAACCTCAAACATATATTTACAGCCACCCTACAACCCCAATTTGTCCGGTTAAAGCAAACGGCGTCCGGTTTTTAAAACAACCGGTTCATCCGGTTTGCGTTACCGGCTGTGTCCGGACACGCAACCCCAGGAGAACCCATAGCTTGCCTAAAAACCAGGCGGTACAATACCAACGGTCTGAAGAAAGCGGTGGCTCAGTATGGGCTAGCTGGCGCATGTCTTGGTGGGAAGTGTGCCGCGTATTCTGCTGCCTGTGCGTGGTGTAGCTATGCTAAGCTGTATCGGTACACCAGAAAACGTCTGCCGTTGAGCCTGAACTTCGTTGCGCGGAACGACGAGGAACCGGCAAGCCGGACCCTTCGTAGTCGGGCGAGTGGTTGGCGAAGGAGCGTAATAAGCGCTCCAGCGTAGAGGCGTCATCCTTTCCAATGGGAGCTCGCTCGCTCGATCTCCAAGCGGTGTGGGGTTAGCTGTGCGAATGACGGCGCTGCCGTGGCTTCGAATCTATATAGAGGGAAAAAAACAG